GGGTATGACTATATAGGTCTTGTAGAAGAGAAACAGGCGCATCTTTTGCGCAAGGTATTGAAGGGCGCTATGTTCAAAAATCTTAAACTGGAGCTCAAAATTTGAAAAAAAATTGTTAAAAACAGGGGGATTGCCCTTTTCCGTGGCTTCTAGAGAAAATTAATGAGAGGTGTCACGGGGTATGACTATATAGGTCTTGTAGAGGAGAAACAGGCGCATCTTTTGCGCAAGGTATCGAAGGGCGCTATGTTCAAAAATCTGAAACTGGAGCTCAAAATTTGAAAACAAATTGTTAAAAACAGGGGGTTTGGCCTATTCCATGGCTTCTAGAGAAAAATAATGAGGGCTGTCACTGGGTATGACTATATAGGTCTTGTAGAAGAGAAACAGGCGCATCTTTTGCGCAAGGTATCGAAGGGCGCTATGTTCAAAAATCTGAAACTAGGGCTCAAACTTTGGAAAAAAAAGTTAAAAACAGGGGGGTTGGCCTATTCCATCGCTTCTAGAGAAAAATAATGAGGTGTGACACGGGGTATGACTTGATAGATCTTGTAGAGGAGAAACAGGCGCATCTTTTGCGCAAGGTATTGAAGGGTGATATTTTCAAAAATCTGAAACTGGAGCTCAAAATTTGAAAAAAAAATTGTTAAAAACAGTGAGTTGGCCTATTCCATGGCTTCTAGTGAAAAATAATGAGGGGTGTCACGGGGTATGACTATATCGTTCTTGTAGAGGAGAAACAGGCGCATCATTTGCGCAAAGTATCGAAGGGCGCTATGTTCAAAAATCTGAAACTAGAGCTCAAAATTTGAAAAAAAAATTGTTAAAAACAGGGGGTTGGCCTATTCCATGGCTCCTAGAGAAAAATAATGAGGGGTGTCATTGGGTATGACTATATAGGTCTTGTAGAGGAGAAACAGGCGCATCTTTTGCGCAAGGTATCGAAGGGCGCTATGTTCAAAAATCTGAAACTGGAGCTCAAAATTTGAAAAAAAAATTGTTAAAAACAGGGGGATTGCCCTATTCCATGGCTTCTAGAGAAAAATAATGAGGGGTGTCACGGGGTATGACTATATAGGGCTTGTAGAAGAGAAACAGGCGCATCTTTTGCGCAAGGTATTGAAGGGCGCTATGTTCAAAAATCTGAAACTGGAGCTCAAAATTTGAAAAAAATTGTTAAAAACAGGGGGATTGCCCTATTCCATGGCTTCTAGTGAAAAATAATGAGGGGTGTCACGGGGTATGACTATATAGGTCTTGTAGAGGAGAAACAGGCGCATCATTTGCGCAAAGTATCGAAGGGCGCTATGTTCAAAAATCTGAAACTGGTGCTCAAAATTTGATAAAAATGGTTAAAAACAGGGGGGTTGCCCTATTCCATGGCTTCTAGAGAAAAATAATGAGGGGTGTCACGGGGTATGACTATATAGGTCTTGTAGAGGAGAAACAGGCGCATCTTTTGCGCAAGGTATCGAAGGGCGCTATGTTCAAAAATCTGAAACTGGAGCTCAAAATTTGAAAACAAATTGTTAAAAACAGGGGGTTTGGCCTATTCCATGGCTTCTAGAGAAAAATAATGAGGGCTGTCACTGGGTATGACTATATAGGTCTTGTAGAAGAGAAACAGGCGCATCTTTTGCGCAAGGTATCGAAGGGCGCTATGTTCAAAAATCTGAAACTAGGGCTCAAACTTTGGAAAAAAAAGTTAAAAACAGGGGGGTTGGCCTATTCCATCGCTTCTAGAGAAAAATAATGAGGGGTGTCACGGGGTATGACTTGATAGATCTTGTAGAGGAGAAACAGGCGCATCTTTTGCGCAAGGTATTGAAGGGTGATATGTTCAAAAATCTGAAACTGGAGCTCAAAATTTGAAAAAAAAATTGTTAAAAACAGTGAGTTGGCCTATTCCATGGCTTCTAGTGAAAAATAATGAGGGGTGTCACGGGGTATGACTATAAAGGTCTTGTAGAGGAGAAACAGGCGCATCATTTGCGCAAAGTATCGAAGGGCGCTATGTTCAAAAATCTGAAACTGGAGCTCAAAATTTGAAAAAGAATGGTTAAAAACAGGGGTTGCCCTATTCCATGGCTTCTAGAGAAAAATAATGAGGGGTGTCACGGGGTATGACTATATAGGTCTTGTAGAGTAGAAACAGGCGCATCTTTTGCGCAAGGTATCGAAGGGCGCTATGTTCAAAAATCTGAAACTGGGGCTCAAACTTTGGGAAAAAAAGTTAAAAACAGGGGGGTTGGCCTATTCCATCGCTTCTAGAGAAAAATAATGAGGTGTGTCACGGGGTATGACTTTATAGATCTTGTAGAGGAGAAACAGGCGCATCTTTTGCGCAAGGTATCGAAGGGTGATATGTTCAAAAATCTGAAACTGGAGCTCAAAATTTGAAAAAAAAATTGTTAAAAACAGGGGGTTGGCCTATTCCATAGCTTCTAATGAAAAATAATGAGGGGTGTCACGGGGTATGACTATATAGGTCTTGTAGAGGAGAAACAGGCGCATCATTTGCGCAAAGTATCGAAGGGCGCTATGTTCAAAAATCTGATATGGAGCTTAAAATTTGAAAAAAATTTGTTAAAAACAGGGGGGTTGGCCTATTCCATGGCTTCAAGAGAATAATAATGAGGGGTGTCACGGGATATGACTATATAGGTCTTGTAGAGGAGAAACAGGCGCATCTTTTGCGCAAGATATTGAAGGGCGCTATGTTAAAAAATCTGAAACTATGGCTCAAAAATTGGATAAAAAATTGAAAAAAACAGGGGGGTTGGCCTATTCCATGGCTTCTAGAGAAAAATAATGAGGTGTGACACGGGGTATGACTATATAGATCTTGTAGAGGAGAAACAGGCGCATCTTCTGCGCAAGGTATCGAAGGGTGCTATGTTCAAAAATCTGAAACTGGAGCTCAAAATTTGAAAAAAAAATTGTTAGAAAAGGGGGTTGGCCTATTCCATGGCTTCTAGTGAAAAATAATGAGGGGTGTCACGGGGTATGACTATAAAGGTCTTGTAGAGGAGAAACAGGCGCATCATTTGCGCAAAGTATCGAAGGGCGCTATGTTCAAAAATCTGAAACTGGGGCTCAAACTTTGGAAAAAAAAGTTAAAAACAGGGGGGTTGGCCTATTCCATCGCTTCTAGTGAAAAATAATGAGGTGTGTCACGGGGTATGACTTTATAGATCTTGTAGAGGAGAAACAGGCGCATCTTTTGCGCAAGGTATCGAAGGGTGATATGTTCAAAAATCTGAAACTGGAGCTCAAAATTTGAAAAAAAAATTGTTAGAAAAGGGGGTTGGCCTATTCCATGGCTTCTAGTGAAAAATAAAGAGGGGTGTCACGGGGTATGACTATAAAGGTCTTGTAGAGGAGAAACAGGCGCATCATTTGCGCAAAGTATCGAAGGGCGCTATGTTCAAAAATCTGAAACTGGGGCTCAAACTTTGGAAAAAAAAGTTAAAAACAGGGGGGTTGGCCTATTCCATCGCTTCTAGTGAAAAATAATGAGGGGTGTCACGGGGTATGACTATATAGGTCTTGTAGAGGAGAAACAGGCTCTTCTTTTGCGCAAGGTATTGAAGGGCGCTATGTTCAAAAATCTGAAACTGGAGCTCAAAATTTGAAAAAAAAATTTTAAAAACAGGGGATTGGCCTATTCCATGGCTTCTAGAGAAAAATAATGACGGGTGTCACGGGGTATGACTATATAGGTCTTGTAGAAGAAAAACAGGCGCATCTTTTGCGCTAGGTATCGAAGGGCGCTATGTTCAAAAATCTGAAACTGGAGCTCAAAATTTGAAAAAAAAATTGTTAAAAACAGGGGGTTGGCCTATTCCATAGCTTCTAGTGAAAATTAATGAGGGGTGTCACGGGGTATGACTATATAAGTCTTGTAGAGGAGAAACAGGCGCATCATTTGCGCAAAGTATCGAAGGGCGCTATGTTCAAAAATCTGATTTGGAGCTTAAAATTTGAAAAAAAATTGTTAAGAACAGGGGGTTGGCCTATTCCATGGCTTCAAGAGAATAATAATGAGGGGTGTCACGGGATATGACTATATAGGTCTTGTAGAGGAGAAACAGGCGCATCTTTTGCGCAAGATATTGAAGGGCGCTATGTTAAAAAATCTGAAACTATGGCTCAAAAATTGGATAAAAAATTGAAAAAAACAGGGGGGTTGGCCTATTCCATGGCTTCTAGAGAAAAATAATGAGGTGTGACACGGGGTATGACTTTATAGATCTTGTAGAGGAGAAACAGGCGCATCTTTTGCGCAAGGTATCGAAGGGTGCTATGTTCAAAAATCTGAAACTGGAGCTCAAAATTTGAAAAAAAAATTGTTAGAAAAGGGGGTTGGCCTATTCCATGGCTTCTAGAGAAAAATAATGAGGGTGTCACGGGGTATGACTATAAAGGTCTTGTAGAGGAGAAACAGGCGCATCATTTGCGCAAAGTATCGAAGGGCGCTATGTTCAAAAATCTGAAACTGGGGCTCAAACTTTGGAAAAAAAAGTTAAAAACAGGGGGGTTGGCCTATTCCATCGCTTCTAGAGAAAAATAATGAGGTGTGTCACGGGGTATGACTTTATAGATCTTGTAGAGGAGAAACAGGCGCATCTTTTGCGCAAGGTATCGAAGGGTGATATGTTCAAAAATCTGAAACTGGAGCTCAAAATTTGAAAACAAAATTGTTAAAAACAGGGGGTTGCCCTATTCCATGGCTTCTAGCCAAAAATAATGAGGGGTGTCACGGGGTATGACTATATAGGTCTTGAAAAGGAGAAACAGGCTCTTCTTTTGCGCAAGGTATTGAAGGGCGCTATGTTCAAAAATCTGAAACTGGAGCTCAAAATTTGAAAAAAAATTGTTAAAAACAGGGGATTGGCCTATTCCATGGCTTCTAGAGAAAAATAAAGACGGGTGTCACGGGGTATGACTATATAGGTCTTGTAGAGGAGAAACAGGCGCATCTTTTGCGCAAGGTATCGAAGGGCGCTATGTTCAAAAAATCTGAAACTGGAGCTCAAAATTTGAAAAAAAAATGTAAAAAACAGGGGCGTTGGCCTATTCCATGGCTTCTAGAGAAAAATAATGAGGGATGTCACGGGGTATGACTATATAGGTCTTGTAGAGGAGAAACAGGCGCATCTTTTGCGCAAGGTATCGAAGGGCGCTATGTTCAAAAATCTGAAACTGGAGCTCAAAATTTGAAAAAAAATTGTTAAAAACAGGGGGGTTGGCCTATTCCATGGCTTCTAGAGAAAAATAATGAGGGGTGTCACGGGGTATGACTATATAGGTCTTGTAGAGGAGAAACAGGCGCATCTTTTGCGCAAGGTATTGAAGGGCGCTATGTTAAAAAATCTGAAACTAGGGCTCAAAATTTGGATAAAAAATTGAAAAAAAAACAGGGGGGTTGGCCTATTCCATGACTTCTAGAGGAAAATAATGAAGGGTGTCACGGGGTATGACTATATAGGTCTTGTAGAGGAGAAACAGGCGCATCTTTTGCGCAATGTATCGAAGGGTGCTATGTTCAAAAATCTGAAACTGGAGCTCAAAATTTGAAAAAAAAATTGTTAAAAACAGTGAGTTGGCCTATTCCATGGCTTCTAGTGAAAAATAATGAGGGGTGTCACGGGGTATGACTATAAAGGTCTTGTAGAGGAGAACAGGCGCATCATTTGCGCAAAGTATCGAAGGGCGCTATGTTCAAAAATCTGAAACTGGAGCTCAAAATTTGAAAAAGAATGGTTAAAAACAGGGGTTGCCCTATTCCATGGCTTCTAGAGAAAAATAATGAGGGGTGTCACGGGGTATGACTATATAGGTCTTGTAGAGTAGAAACAGGCGCATCTTTTGCGCAAGGTATCGAAGGGCGCTATGTTCAAAAATCTGAAACTGGGGCTCAAACTTTGGGAAAAAAAGTTAAAAACAGGGGGGTTGGCCTATTCCATCGCTTCTAGAGAAAAATAATGAGGTGTGTCACGGGGTATGACTTTATAGATCTTGTAGAAGAGAAACAGGCGCATCTTTTGCGCAAGGTATCGAAGGGTGATATGTTCAAAAATCTGAAACTGGAGCTCAAAATTTGAAAAAAAAATTGTTAAAAACAGGGGGTTGGCCTATTCCATAGCTTCTAATGAAAAATAATGAGGGGTGTCACGGGGTATGACTATATAGGTCTTGTAGAGGAGAAACAGGCGCATCATTTGCGCAAAGTATCGAAGGGCGCTATGTTCAAAAATCTGATATGGAGCTTAAAATTTGAAAAAAATTTGTTAAAAACAGGGGGGTTGGCCTATTCCATGGCTTCAAGAGAATAATAATGAGGGGTGTCACGGGATATGACTATATAGGTCTTGTAGAGGAGAAACAGGCGCATCTTTTGCGCAAGATATTGAAGGGCGCTATGTTAAAAAATCTGAAACTATGGCTCAAAAATTGGATAAAAAATTGAAAAAAACAGGGGGGTTGGCCTATTCCATGGCTTCTAGAGAAAAATAATGAGGTGTGACACGGGGTATGACTTTATAGATCTTGTAGAGGAGAAACAGGCGCATTTTCTGCGCAAGGAATCGAAGGGTGCTATGTTCAAAAATCTGAAAAAAGGAGCTCAAAATTTGAAAAAAAAATTGTTAGAAAAGGGGGTTGGCCTATTCCATGGCTTCTAGAGAAAAATAATGAGGGGTGTCACGGGGTATGACTATAAAGGTCTTGTAGAGGAGAAACAGGCGCATCATTTGCGCAAAGTATCGAAGGGCGCTATGTTCAAAAATCTGAAACTGGGGCTCAAACTTTGGAAAAAAAAGTTAAAAACAGGGGGGTTGGCCTATTCCATCGCTTCTAGTGAAAAATAATGAGGTGTGTCACGGGGTATGACTTTATAGATCTTGTAGAGGAGAAACAGGCGCATCTTTTGCGCAAGGTATCGAAGGGTGATATGTTCAAAAATCTGAAACTGGAGCTCAAAATTTGAAAAAAAAATTGTTAAAAACAGGGGGTTGCCCTATTCCATGGCTTCTAGCCAAAAATAATGAGGGGTGTCACGGGGTATGACTATATAGGTCTTGTAGAGGAGAAACAGGCTCTTCTTTTGCGCAAGGTATTGAAGGGCGCTATGTTCAAAAATCTGAAACTGGAGCTCAAAATTTGAAAAAAAAAATTTAAAAACAGGGGAATGGCCTATTCCATGGCTTCTAGAGAAAAGCAATGACGGGTGTCACGGGGTATGACTATATAGGTCTTGTAGAAGAAAAACAGGCGCATCTTTTCCGCTAGGTATCGAAGGGCGCTATGTTCAAAAATCTGAAACTGGAGCTCAAAATTTGAAAAAAAAATTGTTAAAAACAGGGGGTTGGCCTATTCCATAGCTTCTAGTGAAAATTAATGAGGGGTGTCACGGGGTATGACTATATAGGTCTTGTAGAGGAGAAACAGGCGCATCATTTGCGCAAAGTATCGAAGGGCGCTATGTTCAAAAATCTGATATGGAGCTTAAAATTTGAAAAAAAATTGTTAAAAACAGGGGGGTTGGCCTATTCCATGGCTTCAAGAGAATAATAATGAGGGGTGTCACGGGATATGACTATATAGGTCTTGTAGAGGAGAAACAGGCGCATCTTTTGCGCAAGATATTGAAGGGCGCTATGTTAAAAAATCTGAAACTATGGCTCAAAAATTGGATAAAAAATTGAAAAAAACAGGGGGGTTGGCCTATTCCATGGCTTCTAGAGAAAAATAATGAGGTGTGACACGGGATATGACTTTATAGATCTTGTAGAGGAGAAGCAGGCGCATCTTTTGCGCAAGGTATCGAAGGGTGCTATGTTCAACAATCTGAAACTGGAGCTCAAAATTTGAAAAAAAAATTGTTAGAAAAGGGGGTTGGCCTATTCCATGGCTTCTAGAGAAAAATAATGAGGGTGTCACGGGGTATGACTATAAAGGTCTTGTAGAGGAGAAACAGGCGCATCATTTGCGCAAAGTATCGAAGGGCGCTATGTTCAAAAATCTGAAACTGGGGCTCAAACTTTGGAAAAAAAAGTTAAAAACAGGGGGGTTGGCCTATTCCATCGCTTCTAGAGAAAAATAATGAGGTGTGTCACGGGGTATGACTTTATAGATCTTGTAGAGGAGAAACAGGCGCATCTTTTGCGCAAGGTATCGAAGGGTGATATGTTCAAAAATCTGAAACTGGAGCTCAAAATTTGAAAACAAAATTGTTAAAAACAGGGGGTTGCCCTATTCCATGGCTTCTAGCCAAAAATAATGAGGGGTGTCACGGGGTATGACTATATAGGTCTTGTAGAGGAGAAACAGGCTCTTCTTTTGCGCAAGGTATTGAAGGGCGCTATGTTCAAAAATCTAAAACTGGAGCTCAAAATTTGAAAAAAAATTGTTAAAAACAGGGGGGTTGGCCTATTCCATGGCTTCTAGAGAAAAATAAAGACGGGTGTCACGGGGTATGACTATATAGGTCTTGTAGAGGAGAAACAGGCGCATCTTTTGCGCAAGGTATCGAAGGGCGCTATGTTCAAAAAATCTGAAACTGGAGCTTAAAATTTGAAAAAAAAATGTAAAAAACAGGGGCGTTGGCCTATTCCATGGCTTCTAGAGAAAAATAATGAGGGATGTCACGGGGTATGACTATATAGGTCTTGTAGAGGAGAAACAGGCGCATCTTTTGCGCAAGGTATCGAAGGGCGCTATGTTCAAAAATCTGAAACTGGAGCTCAAAATTTGAAAAAAAATTGTTAAAAACAGGGGGGTTGGCCTATTCCATGGCTTCTAGAGAAAAATAATGAGGGGTGTCACGGGGTATGACTATATAGGTCTTGTAGAGGAGAAACAGGCGCATCTTTTGCGCAAGGTATTGAAGGGCGCTATGTTAAAAAATCTGAAACTAGGGCTCAAAATTTGGATAAAATATTGAAAAAAAACAGGGGGGTTGGCCTATTCCATGACTTCTAGAGGAAAATAATGAAGGGTGTCACGGGGTATGATTATATAGGTCTTGTAGAGGAGAAACAGGCGCATCTTTTGCGCAATGTATCGAAGGGTGCTATGTTCAAAAATCTGAAACTGGAGCTCAAAATTTGAAAAAAAAATTGAAAAAAAACAGGGGGGTTGGCCTATTGCATGGCTTCTAGAGGAAAATAATGAAGGGTGTCACGGGGTATGACTATATAGGTCTTGTAGAGGAGAAACAGGCGCATCTTTTGCGCAATGTATCGAAGGGTGCTATGTTCAAAAATCTGAAACTGGAGCTCAAAATTTAAAAAAAAAAATGTTAAAAACAGGGTATTGGCCTATTCCATGGCTTCTAGTGAAAAATAATGAGGGGTGTCACGGGGTATGACTATATTGGTCTTGTAGAGGAGAAACAGGCGCATCATTTGCGCAAGGTATCGAAGGGCGCTATGTTCAAAAATCTGAAACTGGAGCTCAAAATTTGAAAAAAAATTGTTAAAAACAGGGGGGTTGCCCTATTCCATGGCTTCTAGCCAAAAATAATGAGGGGTGTCACGGGGTATGACTATATAAGTCTTGTAGAGGAGAAACAGGCGCATCTTTTGCGCAAGGTATTGAATGGCGCTATGTTCAAAAATCTGAAACTGGAGCTCAAAATTTGAAAAAAAATTGTTAAAAACAGGGTATTGGCCTATTCCATGGCCTCTAGTGAGAAATAATGAGGGGTGTCACGGGGTATGACTATATAGGTCTTGTAGAGGAGAAACAGGCACATCTTTTGCGCAAGGTATCGAAGGGCGCTATGTTCAAAAATCTGAAACTGGAGCTCAAAATTTGAAAAAAAATTGTTAAAAACAGGGGGGTTGGCCTATTCCATGGCTTCTAGAGAAAAATAATGAGGGGTGTCACGGGGTATGACTATATAGGTCTTGTAGAGGAGAAACAGGCGCATCTTTTGCGCAAGGTATTGAAGGGTGCTATGTTCAAAAATCTGAAACTAGGGCTCAAAATTTGGATAAAAAATTGAAAAAAAACTGGGGGGTTGGCCTATTCCATGGCTTCTAGAGGAAAATAATGAAGGGTGTCACGGGGTATGACTATATAGGTCTTGTAGAGGAGAAACAGGCGCATCTTTTGCGCAATGTATTGAAGGGTGCTATGTTCAAAAATCTGAAACTGGAGCTCAAAATTTGAAAAAAAAAATGTTAAAAACAGGGTATTGGCCTATTCCATGGCTTCTAGTGAAAAATAATGAGGGGTGTCACGGGGTATGACTATATTGGTCTTGTAGAGGAGAAACAGGCGCATCATTTGCGCAAAGTATCGAAGGGCGCTATGTTCAAAAATCTGAAACTGGAGCTCAAAATTTGAAAAAAAATTGTTAAAAACAGGGGGGTTGGCCTATTCCATGGCTTCTAGAGAAAAATAATGAGAGGTGTCACGGGGTATGACTATATAGGTCTTGTAGAGGAGAAACAGGCGCATCTTTTGCGCAAGGTATCGAAGGGTGCTATGTTCAAAAATCTGAAACTGGAGCTCAAAATTTGAAAAAAAAAATGTTAAAAACAGGGTATTGGCCTATTCCATGGCCTCTAGTGAGAAATAATGAGGGGTGTCACGGGGTATGACTATATAGGTCTTGTAGAGGAGAAACAGGCGCATCATTTGCGCAAAGTATCGAAGGGCGCTATGTTCAAAAATCTGAAACTGGAGCTCAAAATTTGAAAAAAGTGGTTAAAAACAGAGTTGTTGCCCTATTCCATGGCTTCTAGAGAAAAATAATGAGGGGTGTCACGGGGTATGACTATATAGGTCTTGTAGGGGAGAAACAGGCGCATCTTTTGCGCAAGGTATTGAAGGGCGCTATGTTCAAAAATCTGAAACTAGGGCTCAAAATTTGGATAAAAAATTGAAAAAAACAGGGGGTTGGCCTATTCCATGGCTTCTAGAGAAAAATAATGAGGGGTATCACGGGGTATGACTATATAGGTCTTGTAGAGGAGAAACATGCGCATCTTTTGCGCAAGGTATTGAAGGGCGCTATGTTCAAAAATCTGTAACTAGGGCTCAAAATTTGGATAAAAAATTGAAAAAAACAGAGGGGGTTAGCCTATAGGTGTTTTACCTCCATTGATTTTCCCCTATTTTTTTTTTTAAATTTGCAGTTTTCAAAAAATTGTTGAGAATTTAATTTTGTTGCAAATTCAAAAAATAACATAACATTTCATTGCAAATAAGGAAATAACCAACCAAGCAAATTTCTTCCTTATTTAACCTGTGTACAAATTAGTAACCATCACTACAAAAGTGTAAAAGTCTGAAAAGACCAGTTTTTGTCTTAATTTGCATGAACTTTTACTCGACATTCTCCAAAAGTATGACTTGTGTCTTAATTTTTCTTGACAAATTCTCATTTATATTAAATTTGTATGAAATTTACTCGACATATTCTCGACATTCTGAATATGGTCTTAAAATTTCTTGACAAATTCTTGACATTTGAATACTGTCTTGAAATTTCTCGACATATTCTCGACATTCTTATTTTTTCTCAGTATGGCTTAACATATTCTGAACATTTTGAATCGTGTCTTAAATTTACTTGACAGGTCTGAGTTTTACAAATCATGACCAATATTCATGATATAACTTTAATCTTTATTTCTCTTTATATGATATACTGTTGTTTCAAGTTACACTTCTTTACAACAAAAATAAAAGTTGGGCATGTAAAATAATTGAAAATTGGGTATATAAATATTTTCAGAGACATATATAAATATGTGTATATATGTCTCTGATATTTTTACAAATGCAAATATGGCTATGAAATCTAAAGTATAAAATAATTCAAATGTGGGTGTGTTGATATAAAACAATTTCAATGTGGGTTTTTAAATAATTACAAATTTTGATTCCTAAATCTTATAAATTAAATGATTCAAACCAATCATACTGTAGACATATTTCATTCCACATTCATAATATTCAATGTTGATATGGTAAATAATTATTATACCAAAATGTGGTTTATATAAATAGCAAATTATGATGATATACAAATCATTCATTTAACAGAAGAAAAATTTGTGTAATGTCATCTGTTGGAATATATTAAGTATTACACATGGACAGGATGTTCCCCATAAAACTAAGGTATTCCACACCCCAGAGTACACGCAACTGTCAAATAGAAGTTATTGCTTTACCTGTAATCAGCCATACAACTTATCAGTTGACCGACCATGCCACTACAATTTAAAAAGTTTGTTGATAGATGAAAATGAAAATCATAATTTTGATGAATTGAAATGGATTTTCTTCATCAAAATTATGAAGTTAATTATTTCAACATAAAAACAAATTGAATAAATCCCAAAGATTAAAAGAAAATTATTATCTACTCCAGGAATAATAAAAAAAATGTATTTATAATGGGTCCCATCAATGATTTCTATAGAAATCATCGGTCTTATGAAATGGTTCTCAAACAGACATGCATAATATAGATCTAAACATTTTTTTTTTTCAGGAAGGAGTTATCACAAATATTTATTTTTGTTAAAAAATTATAAAATTCAACACTCAAATTTGAATAAAAAATGTTTTTGGGTTGTTCTAAAAAAATAAATAAGGTTTTTGAATCAAGATGGGAACAAATTCTTTGACCTAAACGAAAGCCCCCCCCCCCCTCTTTTTTTAGCCACACACACCCAAAAGATGAATTGTGGGGTCCAAAAGAGATACAAGACACCTATTTTAGTAAAGCAAATTTGACTGGCAGTTTTGCGAACGGCAAAAATCTAAATGCTGTTTGTCAATACCTTCGACTTATATTCCAAGTGAAAACAATTACTTAAATGTTTTATAAAAATAAATCAAAATTAAACTACATGGGGGATTATTCGGGGTATTCCAACTTAGTTGCACCAAAAGGGTATCTTACTATACCAAATTAATCCTTGATTCTTCAAAGTTTAATTTAGCCATAATAAAAAGGAGTATACAACAGCAATAGAATGTCATAAACAGTGCTGAATAAGTCTGTTCACATTTCAGGCGAATTTTATACTGTTGAGATAGTGTCAAGACATATTTAAGACTGTCAAGAATGTGTCGAGACATATTCAGACCTTATTTAGAATGTCAAGAATATGTCGAGACATATTCAGACATTATTAAGAATGTCAAGAATATGTCAAGACAGATCGAGACAAATTTAAGACAGTCAAGAATTGGTCGAGACTAATCCAGACTCTTATCAGATGATACAGGAAGTGTCGAGAAATTTTAAGACAATGTTCATACTGTCAAGACACTTGTCAAGAAAAATTAAGAACCTTATTAGACAAATTCATACTATGTCAAGAATTTTTAAAAATTATTCAGACAAATTAAGAATGTCGAGTAAAAATTCATTCAAATTCAGACAAAAACTGGTCTTTTCAGACTTTTTGACTTTTGTAGTGCATGCATCCTCAAGTTTCCAAAATATTCTACAGAAACCCCAAATAAAAAAATAATGATTCTTTGAAATACCCAAGATGCGTGTATATGTTAACGACCCAGAAATGTTTTACTGCAAAAGAATGATGGATTAATTACCTACAACTGTCAAATTCAAGGGAATATATTTTTCGACCTATTTTCGTATGCAACCGGATGTGACGTGCCATGATTTGGTGGTATTACACCTGAAGAAGACATTTTTATTTAATAAACTGAAAGGGACTTTTTTCCTTTGTAATACTGTTTTTTTCAAGCATTCTGTCATATGCATATTTTGTCATAATCAGTTCAATAGTTTGAGAAAAATCTAGTATAATGTACGACGACATCTTCAGCGATTCGTGCAAAATTTCTTCGAAAAATCCAAACCAAGCCGCATCATGATAGAATATAGTGTGGACCAATAATGATCAAATATTTATCTCATCTACCTACAAACAGTTGAATATGATACAAAAGATGCTTTTACGATGATAAATACCACTAATGGACACCTTTGTCTTCTTTATAAGGTCTCTTTTGGTCCATTTATACATGTCATTTCCTCAAAATTTCAACTTTTCAGGCCAATAAATAAAAATAATGAAGTAACTTTCACTCATTTATGATAGAAATGTTATAATAAATTACATTGAGTGATTGAAGTATTCAAGCAGAATTAACAATCCATATAAAAGTTTACCGGAGTTTTTAATAAGTCCTTACGTAAAACTTAAATTTACGCTGCGTTCCAGAGAGGGACATAAAAAGCTTCTCTATCAGTGAATAATTTGTTGGTACTGCTTTAAAAAATAATTACATTTACTTATAACTATATATTTATTAAAATATTTCTGAGAGAAAACTTTCTATTATAGCAGATCTAGAATATAAGAAATAAGGATAAAAAGCTCCCCAAAAAACCGTGAAGTATGGCTTGTTCTGTTAACTAATATTCATGGTAGAGTCCTATTTCAAGGAAATGTTCTCATAAAATGTATTTTGGAGACTCAATCCACTCAGAATATTCTTTGTTTGTAATATTTCACTTGAATAGCAAGAAATTTAAACACATGAGAGTACTCACAAGGTCAAAGGTGCACGTACAGCACCCCATATTAGGTGTAATACCACCATTGATTTACCCCTTTTAGTCTTTTTAAAATTTGCACTATTCAAAAAATTGTGCAGAATTTATCTTTGTTTCAAATGGAACAAGAGGCTGTTAGAGTGACAGCAAACCGGATTTTCCTGCAGAGGTCGAACCCTGAACAGTTGAGCAAGTATGGATACTACATTTAAGCTTAAAAAGCTCTGAATTTGGATTGTGATTGAAAATTTGACACAGCATAGGTTTGTGAAACAAAATGAATGTGGTTTAAGAACTGAAATACTTGAAATTGGACATTTAAATACCTATTATGGTCCAATATAAAAAATCTAAGTACATATTAGAATCAGCATATCAAAGAACCCCAAGAATTCAATTTTTGATGAAATCAGACAAAAGTTTAATTTAAGACCC